CTTAACCTGCTCGTCTTAGGGAGTAATCGTGCCAACCGCGTTTAAGTGTCAGGCGAATGAGCACCCTGAAGGCTCAAGCAAGAATTGCACGTGACGCGCGGTAATGTTGCTGTGCTCTGTCGCCCACCACTTTCTGTCTCTCTGCCGCGTTTTCAGTGTTTCGATCGCATACTGCTGTTCATCTTAGCCAGAGGGCGTTTTCCCTGTAGAGGTCATAACATGCATGGATATTGTCACTGCACTAGAACACCAGTTTCAGAGTAGAATATCGAATGTTTCAATAATTTATTAGAAGCAACAACTTAAGGATACGCTCACGCTCACATTCAGGACCTTGATGCTTGCCATGAGTGAGGTAAAGGTGCAGAGGTAAAGGTGCACGCAGCTGTAGAAAAGTATCTTTCCGTCACTTGAAAGTCCCCGAAATGAGGCTGATCTGACACTTGAACGCAATCCCTAAGACGAGCAGGTTAAGCCTGGCAGGAGGGTATGCCGCACCCCTGAGCAGGCGCTGCGTAGTGCCTTCAAGGAAGCTACCCTTATAAGGCCCTATCAATCTGCAACATACCGATCCGGACGCCCACCGTGCCCGCCCGCCCACAAATGGCCGACCGTGCTTCAGCGAGGTGGCGTAAGGGCGCGATTCCATCCGGGCTGCAGCATTGGGATGGGAAGAGGGCGTTGTCCGACGACCCCTCCCCCAACGCTACGATCCTCCTTCCTGGAAAGTCTTCCTCCGACACAACCCTCCCCCAATCAAGTACGATTCCCTTGATGGGATTCTTCCAATGGTCCTGCTTCGTGTCTCCAACAAAGCACGACTAGGACCAACTAGCGGAGAAATAGCGCAGCCTGCCCCCTCCCCCCCCCCCCGCTTGGAAACGTTTCAGAAAACGATTTAGAGGACGGAACACTGGTCAAGTTTCCGCATCAGCCTCACAAAGAGGGTATAGTTATCCAACAACATCAAACTTTATTAAGTTTAAAGCATCGAAAAATACAATTTGTTTGATCATTGATGAGCGTCTTAATAAATCGCTGTTACACCACTATTCTAGTCATAATCTCTGCGTGTGTTCATACTCTGAAATGGTTCACAGTAAAGAGTTGATTTGTGGGGAACCTTTTGCCTCTGATAGCTAGCTATACCTGAAGATTTTCTTATGCTCTGCGGTGCCGATTCCATCTTTCGTTGTGTAACGTCGACAGCGAACGTTTCTTCTGAAGCGCTTCGTCATCGGCCTGTTCGGCGGTTATCAGATTGACTGCTACCAAATGGGGATCGAACGCGGTTGCTGTGCCTTCATCAACTGGCTTGAGTTGATGATGCTCTTCATCCGACATGTCTGTTCCAATGTCATCACCGTGATCTTTGAACGAAAAGCCAACCTTAAAACCACAGTATCAGCTTGAATGGTAACTCTTATGGTGAGAGTAACACTGGTTAATCCCATTCAGCATATACGAGGTATGATAAAATGTATTTAATGTGAGTGTAGAATGTGCCGAGGCAGAAGGGGCAGAGTTATCTGGGGGCGGGACATAAAATGGGGTCCATTGTGCAATATATGTGCGGTGGGCGTTTCGCGCAAGACTGGGAAAAAGCCGCTTTGCAGAAGAATCCTAAAAAAATACTATAAGAGGGTCGACACCCATGAACGCTGATAGGGCGCTCTACATCTAGGGGGCGATGTCTTCAGAAAAAGTTCTGTAAAATGCTGGAAGCAAGAACCAGGTAAACACCGCCGTTGACGTGTAACGGCATACAAAGCGTCGTTGAGGCAGTGCAACTCGTCTTCCTTTCGGAGCTACCTGATCTTATAAACTTTGAAAGGATCCTCACTGGGTGCACTCAACCCTCTCTCGAGTGCAAGCTCCCCTTTCTCACTCATTCAAGCGCCCTCTTTCACCATCAGCTCGACCCTACTGCTTATCGTGTCTAAGCAAGAATGGCCTTTGATCCCTCCCCCCCCCCTCTAATCAATGCTACTTCCTTCCACACACGGGGTAGGAAGCGGTGGGAAAAAATTTGGACTATGTCTGATGTTCAGATGTCGCAGCATACAGACGCTGGGCTGACCACTACTACTACTATGACTCTTGACAAAGCTTATTACCTTCACACTCTGATGCGTTTTCGAGACGGCCTTTCCGGGTGATCCCTTTCTTGATCGCACCTTATTCGCATTCAACAGATCCGATTCGGCTGAAGGTATCTGTTTTCAAGATGGAAGGCTCTTAGAAGGCTTAAAAGTCTCACTTGGCGTGACACAAAGGGGTCGCCTTTTAGCGCAGATTATCACAATGAATAAGACTATTATAGCTATCAAAACAATAAGGTTGCAAAGCAGAATAACCCATAGTGGAGGAGGTGGAACAAGTAGACGCAACTGAAGAACGATCAATTATTAGAAGAGACCCCAAATCCCAAGTCATAGCAACAAACCTGGCTCATCAAGCCAGTATGACAGTGAAGATGCGAATAAAAAATAAAATGAGACCCACTCGAAGTCAGGAAAAAATGAGATAAGCGTATGTTCTTATCATTATCATTCTCTCGACTCTGAAGCAGATCCGACGTGCGTTGGGAAATCCCCAGCAAAGGGGGTCGTATTTGGTCGCTGGGGTCTTTTTAATAATTAATTTTCTTGATTCACGGACGCTGTAAGGGAGGGGGGTTGTATTTTCCGAGAGCTTCCCCAGCAACAAGACGTGCCGATCTCTGAAGACAGCCCCCTCTCCCACCCCCCGCCTCCCCCATAATCGCCATTTGCAGGCTGTGGGCCAGAGCCTCACTAGATCAGATACCGCTGAAGAAAAAAACAAAAAAAATCGCAAAATCTTAAATAAGAACTCTGTTGGCTCTAAGCATGATATGTACCTACGACGCGGAAAAAACTGAACGTGAGAAAGAGAAAGAACCAGATCATGGTATGGCTAGAGAATCCTTCTATTCTATAAAGCAGTAACTTTGTGTGTCGGTTTGTCTGAATGTATGTATGTACTCTAGTTCTCTGCGGACGGTTGGGCGTGTCAGCCAGTATGAGTGTGTCACCCTATCAAAGCCGTTCTCTGCCTTCTTGTTGAAGAGCGCATGCGACAAAAAGTGGTAGAAGACGAGTAATACGAAGGATATGATACAGTATTGTCACTTGCCCGCTTCAACAACTGGTGTAGAACGAGTTTGGCACCGCGCCAAACGCAGCCGCACTGACACGCCCAACCGTCCGCAGCGAACTACACTATATGTATGTTTGTCCGTCCGCAAATGCTTCACGGGTTCGAATTAGTGGAGGAGAAACGACCGCTAGACAAACCGGAAACCGATTGGTGCAGATGTATCAATCCAATGTTTTGATTGTGATAACAGCCTCCGCTATATAAGACAACCATTCGGTACACTCCGAGCCATTGCACGAGCTGCTCGCGTGGCAGCTGGACGTGTGCTGGTGCAGTGGGAAAGGGTAGGGAAGGGAAGTAGTAGGGGGCATGGGGCGAAAGGTAGGGCGAGGGAAGTGAGGTTAATGAGGAGGGGGGGGACATAGAGTGCGCTTCAACAGGAGCACGCCATAACGGTGGAAAGAGAACCATTAGTGAAAGCTATCCTACTATATATAATTCGCTATGTATGTCTGTGTGTGTGTTCGTGTGTGTGTCACGAAATTCATAGCGCCGGTCCCAGTAGCAGTGAGACATTGATTTCAAGAAGTGATGTAGGGAGTGTGACGGGAACACTATTGGTGGGTGACAGGAAGTGATATCAGTTGATAAGATCGATAAGAGGCGTTAGAAGGGGAGGTCACCATATTCATAACGCGGGTGACAGCATCAGCTAGCTCTTGATTCCAAGATATGATATAGGGTATGGGCCAAGAACTTTATTGGTGGGTGACAGGAAGTGATATCAGCTGATAAGATTCGATAAGGGGCGTTAGAATGGTGAGGTCATCATATTCATAACGCAGGTCACAGCATCGGCGAGGCATGCGTTTCAGCAAGTGATACAGAGGGTGAAATGGGGACATCAATCGCGGGTGACTTGAAGCGATGACTACTGATAGGGGCTGATAAAAGAAATTACAGTCGTCGTCGCTGTTCGAGGTGATTCACGCTACCAGTTC